TCCCCAAGTCCCTGAGGGAAATGTATGTCTCACAAGCGACTGAATGCCTTTTGTGAGAGTGAATCAAAAATGTGAAACTGTTGGCTGGAAAACCATAACAATAAGCCAAAAGATGCTAGGAAGCTGAGGAAAATTGGGATGGGTGATAATTTTCTGTAGGTTCACAACAACTCCTTTCAGATAAAGCTAGTGTAGTAATCCATTATACTTGCTTTAAGGTTTGGTAACTAAGTAGGACAAGACCATAATCATGTTTAAATTTTGAAATATCTTTTCTATAGATAAAGTAAAAATTGGACTTTATTATTTATGTTAATGCTGACTTTTTGTGCAGACAGAAAGAGAGAGAATGCACTTATACAAAATAGATAATGACTGGGCAAAGGAAATGCTCCTAAACCACCAGGCCACTCCACCAAAACTAAAGCCAAAAGAGCTGTGCAGAAGAAGACCAAGCTGCCTTACTCTTTGCACCACTTGACAGGTTGTGATCAAAGTTGTGTGACTTTTTAAAAGTACTTGTGTTATTATGGATAATATCGTGTTCCTAATGACCCTGCAATAGGTGTGGCAAAGTAACCAAATTGATACTGAAATATTCAAATTTGGTTTAATCTAGTCATAAAGAGAAATTCTTTATCACCTTATGTTTCACAATGAGTCTCAGGGGATTTTATACAGTATGACAGTAAGACAATGCAGCCACGTTAAACATTTTATTTTAAATATCAGCAAAACAGGAAATTGGCTAAATCTGACCACCACTGGCCACAATGGTTGTCAAAGCTGACGTGGTATATAAACTGGATTACGTAAATATCTGCAGATGTGAAACCACAAGGATGCTTTGTGCTTCACCTGTTATATCCTGTCTGTTAATTTGTCACCCTCTGTTTGCATCATTGTTTTTGTGTTTATGTAAGCTGCAAGGGTCATGTCAAATAATGATTTGTTCCAAATGAAATACTTTTTATATAAACAAAAACTGATGAAATGTAATAATCTCTTGCTTTTTAACAACTTGCAACTAATTTGCAGAACATGGTAAATGACTAGCATTGCAAAATTCTATACAATAAAAATATTTTGCCGTATTGCTCACATTCTACAGGCATTTTTGTGTATGTAGTATTCTGTGCAGTACAGTCAGCATTAAAAAGAAACCTTAACTGATTGTGAACACAAAGCGAAACCCATTTCTTGTTAAAACCACCCACATTTCCTGCTGTTTGTTGCTCCACTGCAGCACCAAAGTTGCAACTGGAACATTCTGTCTGTATGCTAGAGTAGCTTTTTGGTGTTCGGTGCATACATGGGCCTTTAGTGAAACCGCAGCACTGACCTTCTCCCCTGTATTAGTTTAAACTCACTCAAAGGATAGAGAAGCTCCTGTTTTTGTCATGTGGTTCGATTGATCCTATTTATATTCATGTTCTTACAAAAAACCAGCGATGGTGCAGTGTTTCAACACAACTACAAGCAAAGAAAGTATATTTTTAAGAAAAAAAAGGCTTTTTACAGGGTGGAGCTTATAGTGATATACATTTTCCTCTGTTGGCTGAGAAAGTCCACAAACAAACACTCTCATGTTGACCTTGCGTTTGTAATTTCTAAACATGCTTATCTTGTTGTACCTGCAGGGTTGTATTTTTAATAAGCACTTGCTTACACAAAGTAATAACTACATAAATAATATTTTAATAAGTATTAAAATATTTTATTTAAAGGACACTGGACACTTGTTTTATTGCCAATTAAACCTCAATTAACAAATATGACTAAAAGCCTAAAAGAAAATTTTAATAAGACTATATCAAAAACAAAAAGGAAACAAAATTAGACTGATATAAATTTTGATATAAATTTGTTTTGGTTAAAATTGAATAAGTTTTACTACCTAAACCAATTAATTTATCAGAACCAAGACAAACATTTTTAAATAAATGACTTGCACATGTGATTACTTATTAAATGGTGAGATCGTAGTGGGTTTGTGTCACTTAGATGTTGCTGTCTTCAAGATGAATACCACAATGACCTCGTCTTTGTCAACCATCCTATTACTGATGGCATCCGTTTTGGTGCTGCAGTAGTCTTTTCAAATCTGTGGAAACTAACAAGATGCTTCGTTCACCTTTTCTCAGTGGCATCCTCCACCATAAATTGTAGCTTCTCATTCTCTGTTGGCCTCATGACTTTGAGACGAGGGATGGGATTAAGGGTGCAGACAGAAGTGTCAAATTGATACTGTCTTCTCCTCAGTACTTACTGCAGTATTACAGCACTGCTGTGGATGGCAGAGAGAAAATGTAGCAAAGGGAAAGTTATTTTAAAAATAAGATTTAATATTTTTACCATGTATGCACAAATACTGTATATCTACAATTGGAGAGAAAAAGCATCATCTAAACATAGACATGAAGAAAAAGAAAATCATAACACAGATATTCATACACACACAACTGTATGTACACAGAAATGGGGCTGTGTGACTGCACCCAAACTCATTTATCTAACACTGCATTAAGAATGTATGACTGTGATTTTCTTATAATGTGCGTCATATCACAAAGTGGCAGGTTTTCCAATTGCCCAATAATGATCTATTTGCCAATCCAATAGTTTTGAATAAGACGCACATAGATGTAAAATGAATAAAACATTGAATGAAGGAATCATGACAGTTCCATTTCCATCTCTCTTTCTCTCTCTCTCTCTCTCTCTCTCTCTCTCTCTCTCTGAAAGTCTCCAAGAAGACTTATGTACAATTGGGGTAAAATCAGTACTTGGACGGTTGCCTGAGTTTGTGTGCACATTGCATTTCTCTGTTCTCTTTATCTCACACTAGACGCCTACGATGCACCACTTTCACAAGCAAAGCAAACGTCTTCTCGCATCTGCTCTCTTGTTTGTTAAGATAGTTTACTGGCAATATTCATGCTGGCTGGTGTACACTGTATCCATTTCTAATTAACTAATGCCATTGGAGCCCTGAGCTAAATATAAATATAGGATACAAATGCGACCTTCTCAAGTGCAAATACACTGTAAGGTACCGTAAGTTGGGGGTGTTAGTGGCTCTTTAAAACAATGATAATCATGTCTTTAATGAGATGATCACACCTTTTTTTAAGAAGGGGGACAAAAAAGAGACAAAATTCTGCAGGGAAATGATCAGACATCAGGCATTTTCACTTTTAAACTTTTTTTTATTATGCAGATTTGAAATAAAAGAAGCATTGTGACACAAACAGATGCTGCTGGCAAGGACAAAAAGGAGCAGCACCCAAAATGTAAAAAATAAAGAAATATTCATTGTTGTGTTATCATTTTTATCAAACCAAAGGGAAAAATAAAATAAAAATGCACCTCCATTTTAAGAAGCAAAAGAGAACTAATTTCTCATTAAAAAAAAAATAATAAAAAATAAAAACTTGTCAAACAGCTGATGGGCAACTAGCGAAAACAATATGTTTAACATTTAAAATATTTATCATTACTGGCTTTACAAATAAAATAACTACAATTGGCAGTTTTTTTTCTTTACACAACTTAAAACATTATAGTTCTGTAACAACTAAAACAGAAATTATGCTACAGTAAAGAGATACAAATAGATGTCTTCATCAACAAAATGCATTTCTGTTAATCACAAGTTAAAAAGATGAGTTCAAAACAATCAAACACCAACTGGAAACTTATAAAAGTCACTGTAATGTGGATGGTATGGCTCCATTCACATATTTCATGACTTCACTTCTGTATGTTGAAGGCAAAATTGACATTATGGTAAGACAAAATAAGAAGAGAGAGGGAGGGGAGGGGC